ATGTAGCAGGCTCTCAAACTTGTTCAATAGTTGAAAGGCAGATAGGAAATACTTGTTTTCTAGGGAGGTAGTCAGTTTTGCCCAGAAACAGGAAAACAAATGTCTAGTTTCTCTTCTAGCCCAAAGATGTCACTGACTCTTTGTTCAAAGTTGTACATATCATTGTGACTATTGGCAACCATGTATTAAGTGCCTATTATGTGTCAGGCAGTATTTTAAAATTCTGTCATTATAGTTCCAGGGGAGCGGTGTTGCACCTTTACAAATAAAGAGGTTATTTGTAAATAAAGTTCAGGCCAATGGCACAAAGTAGTGAAGGTGGGATTCACTCGGGTCTGTCACTTCCAAGCCCATGTTTTCTGCTTTGTAACCCTATTTGAAAGGAAAACTGCAACTAAGATTATGACCCATGAGACAACTTATGTGTGAGACAAAATATTTCACACCTCCCCACCGCCCCCGCCCCCAAACACACACGGTATGACACAATGACCCAACTTTAGGCAAAAGGGTACCACTGCCAGCAAGTGCATTTAACATTTTATTGAGATTCTCAACAGCTGCCATTTGGTTTGTATAGCAAAGTTTTTACAAAGTAAATTTTTTCCATTTTTGATATTTTTATGAAAATTATTTTCTTAAGTTTTAAAGCCTTGCCCCTCCCCCAAAGAAGGATTAGTAACTACCAAGTAATGATTAGGAAAAAAAACAAAAGCAAAAACAGCTTTTAAACACTTGTGAAACAAGGGTAAGTGTCCAAAGTCAAGGCCTTCTGGGCCCAGTGGAGGTGCTGGGCTGCCCCGGGACACCATCACTACCTCACCATCTACAATATCCTCAAGAGCTGAGCAGCCCTGCACAGACCCTGGGGGGCTTCCTGTTCCCCAAGTTCCACTCCCTTTTCCTCTCCATCTTTGCTGTTGGGCCTCCCCTCCAAATCTGCCTAACAAAGGCAGCACGATCTTTAATACCTGTGCAGCTTTGTAAATGGAGACAGGATACTCTATTTCGAAAGCTGAGATTCCCTGTCCAGTCTGGGGGAGGAAAAATTATCCAATGTAGCATGGATGGTTTCACTTTCTTGTCCACTCAGACACACGCTCATACTTATTAAATGGATTTATTGGATGCTTCAAAAGTCCTGATGTGTAGTAGCACAAAAGTTTCTTGTAAAAAAAGAAGTTGCAAAATTGTAAAAATTTCTGCAGCAGTTCTGACGCCGGATGACAAAGCTCGTTCTGATTAGTAGGTTTTCTTTGACAGGCACAGCAGCTTCCTCTATAAGTCTTACGTTCGGAGGGTTCCATTTAGACCACAGGAAGCTGGAATCCAAGTTTAAAAGGCTCTCTGCTGACAAAATGTGGTACATCCATCAATGGAATTCTACTCAGCAATAAAAGGAACAAACTACCAAAACATGTTGTATGTCATGGACGAACCTCAAAAACATTAGCTAAGTAAAAAAGCCAGACCCAAGAGACCACATATTGTATGATTCCATTGATTCAAACTGTCTAGAAAAGGCAAATTTATAGAGAAAGTAGATTGGTGGTTGCTGGGGGTAAGAACAGGATTAACTGTAAAACAGCATGAAGGATCTTATCAGGAGGGATAAAAATGTTCTAAAACTGAGTAATAGTTATAGCTACACCACTGAGGGAAGTTACTAAAATCACTGAATTGTACACTTGAAATGGGTGTTTTATGATATGTAACATATGCCTCATTAAAGTTGCTTTGTTTTTAAGAAAACGACTCCCTGCCTCCCAAACCATCCTTCAAGTATTAAACATTTTTGAAGGCTCACAATCAACAGGACAGAATAATTACTTAGTGATGATTTCCAGAGTAAAATATTTTACTATTTTATAGTAAGCACATTTTAGTAACTGTAAACTAGTAAAATATTTTAAAGATTTTATCTCATTTTTGTCATATTAGTCTAAAATGTTTATTATTTTTATATAAAAGGTAGCCAATAGGAAGGTAGGATTGAGGAGAAAGCCCAGCAAATGTCACAAAGGAGACTCCTAGTAACAAAATCTGAGGGAGCTTTTTCCTTTAAAATAAAGATGGTGCATCTGTCCCTTTACAGATTTCTCTCCTGTCCCCTGGGACTGGGGAAGGTGAATCTCCTGCCTGACACCCTGTCGAGAATAGTGTATCCAGCTGTTCTATTCCCATGATGCCTCTAAAAACCAGACTGACTGGGAACAGCACTAGGGGTTTGGCCAGTGAGGGCAGGTGGCCAAGTGGTATGCAGGAAACTCTCATGTTTCCCTGGGTTGGCTTCCTGCTCCCCTTTCCCTGTCATGAATAGCAGTTTCAATATGAGAAGATTAAAACAAAGGAAAAAAACCACAAAAACCAAAAAACAAAAAACTGTTTTCAAATTGTAACTAACCAAGTCTGTGGAGAAAATTCACAAGGCAGCAGAGCAGCGTCTGCAGAAGGTGCTCTGCCTACCGGGAGAACTAATGATCCCTGTGAGCAATGCGGGCTGCAGTGAGTCACACGGGGAAAGGTGGACAGAGGCAGAAGGACATCAAGGACCCCACTACACTCCAAATCGGAGTCAATCCTCCTCTTCTCCCCACCTGCTTCCCAAACTAATGACGTCCGCGTTATCCCAGAGGAGAGCGGCTAGGGACACCCAGTCCTTCCCAATATGTGCATATCTCCAAATCTTGGTCAAATCTGTCAGATTTCTAACAGTCCCAATACCTCAATATCACCTAAACTGAGAAAGATTATTAGCCCGTGATGGTGGGATCCTTATTGAAGAAGGCCTGCCCCCTCCTCACAGTAGGGCAGACTCCTGGGTTCCCGATGATTCAGGAGCCTGGGCTGTCATTTGTCTACCTGGGGTTTGCAGCCGCCCTAATACAAGAAGATTCATTCATGCTGTTTACTTTGGCGGCCTCTTTACACAACTTTCCTCTCTAACACGTGTTAACCAACAGAGTATTCACCTCACCTCCTTACTTCCCAGCTTCCCCAAAATCAATGTAATAGTAATCAACAATTTGGAAAATGCTGCTTAGTATTTTAAGCCATGGTTAGCATTATAACCTTAATTAAAGAGACTGCAGGCTCGGGTGGCTCACCACACCCAGCCTATAATCCCCAGCACTTTGGGAGGCTGAGGTGGGAGAATCACTTGAGCACAAAAATTTAAGAACAGCTTGGGAAATAGAGAAAGATCCAGTCTCTACAAAACATAAAAATAATAAAAATAATTAGCTGGCCGTGATGGTGCGTGCCTATAGTCCCAGCTACTCAGGAGGCTGAGATGTGAGGATTGCTTGAGCCCAGGAATTTGAGGCTGCAGTGAGATATGGTCATATCACTGCACTCCGGCCTGGGTGACAGAGACTATGCTTTAAAAAAAAAAAAAAAAAAAAAAAAAAAAAAAGGACCCCAGCTGCTGTGACTTTGGAAACTAAAGGTGCTACAAAGGTCAAGCCTTCTCCTTAGGATGGTTTCTAGTTTCACCCTTATGTGATTCCCAAAAGTCAACTATTATTGCCAGAAACTGGCTTTTGGCTGCATTTGCCCAGGCCTAGGCTGTATCCTTGAATTTTCTGCTGCAGTTCAAAGGTGGAGAAACTGAAAAGGCATTCATTTCGCTTTTTTTCCCTTGAAAATAAAGAGATAAATTATTTTCATCTTGGAATTTTAGAGTTGAATAAATAATCCCAATAATTACAGATCAATCACTAATAAACTAACACTGGGACCAGCCAGAGTGGCAACTGTTAAAAATACATGTTCTACTTCTTCTCTTTTTTTTTTTTTTTTTTTTTTGAGACGGAGTCTTGCTCTGTCACCCAGGCTGGCTGGAGTGCAGTGGCGCAATCTTAGCTCACTGTAACCTCCACCCACTGGGTTCAAGCAATTCTCCTGCCTCAGCCTCCTGAGTAGCTGGGATTATAGGTGCCTGCCACCGCACCCGGGTAATTTTTGTATTTTTAGTAGAGATGGGGTTTCACCATGTTGGCCAGGTTGGTCTTGAACTCCTGACCTCATGATCCACCCGCCTCGGCCTCCCAAAGTGCTGGGATTACAGGTGTGAGCCACTGCGCCCAGCCTACATGTTCTATTTCTATACAAATTCTCAAACTTCTAGTTGCCAATTTAAAAAAAAAGTTTAAACAGAGTAGTGGCTTAAATTCAACATCAAAATTACCCCTTACAAATACAAGTCTCACCATCTAAGGGTAAAGGGTTCCAGCCTGGCTTGCTGGTTCTACTCCTGTGAGAAAAGTCAAAGACAGCCAGAGGCTCCCAGCCTTTCCCCAGTGAAGGTCCAACAAGATGCATTTTCTGCTAAGAAGGTAGCAAACTCTAACTAGCAGAGCCTGTGTCGTGAGTGACAATTGTGCCCCCACCTCCCAACATAAAATAGATGGCAAAAAGAGTTGGACTACAAGAGGAACCACTGGAAGCAGAGTCCTATGCATTTTAAAAAGAATCACTTTGCTAGCTGCTTCCTATACCTGGAGTCAGCACATTCAGTGTCTGAAGAGGACTAGAAATGCCAGCCCTCAGTGTCCATGCTAAACTGGCAGGAAGTTTTCATAGTCCTGACCAAATATGCCTTGTGAAACCAGGCTGAAGACTGACATCCAAAACAGACCAGCACAGCAGAGGAAAGACAAGCTCCTTTCTCTCTGCAATCCCAACACATTTCTAACCACCTTCAGAATTCTGAGCTTGGACAGGCTCATGGAGGATGAAGGAGAAAAAGCAGTCCCAGAAGGGAGAGATTTCCTCTATGCACTTGCAATGTCCTTTCCTTTTTAGAGGGAACAACCCAGCTGAAAGTTGAAGCTTGAATAAAGAAGTTTCTTTATTCATATTCCTCCCTGAAAAAGAGTTAACAGTTTCATTTTCTCAACACAGAGGCTTTGGGAATTAATGTGTCTGGTAATGCAAGTTCTCTAAGCTACTCTCCTATGACATGTGACCTAACAAGGAATGCAATTTTTCAAGTGATATAATCCTACAGACTTAAATAGGAAAAAATGTGTATTTTAAATCTGGCATTAGCTTGTCACTGTTCAAAGAGTCAACGAGAGCTCAAAAGGAGAATTTCTTCAGCTTTCCATACCCTAGTCCTTTCCTTCCAACCTCTGTCCCACATCCACATACTGAATTTATGCCAACTTTATTTCAAGTTACGTATCTTTTCCCTATTAGGCCTATCACACAGCATAGTAGCAATCAGAGAGAAGCCACTATTATCTTTAGGGCTCTTCAAGTCCTCATCCCTGGGAGAATGGCCTGGATGGTCTCTTATACATCACACTGCCATCTACATCTCTATATACAAAGGCAGCTCCTAGCACCCAGTTTAGTTCTTTAGGTGTAGCAACAAAAGACCCCAACAAGTTAAAGGCAGGAAAGACAAAGAAACATATCCTAAGAGGTCAATCTAGGAAACCTGCAAAGCTGGGTATGTGGGAACAGTAAAATGTTTTAATAGCTGAAAAGATCCCAGAGGGTCAGGTACACAGTCACATGGGTCAAGCAGGACTCACTTTCCTAGGCTGGTTTTGAGTTCCTTTCCAAAATTCTGTAATGTGGGAAGAAATATCCAAACCATGAACTGAGCTTCTTACTAGTGTGCTGAAAAATATATCCTTTAAAACGTGCATAAACTTGTCTGAGGGAATTGAGACACCAGGAAGACCAAGTGTTGATGAGGCTGGAAAAAAAAAACTGTCCAAATAAAATTAAGACACAACAGATTCAAGGATGACTTCTGCAGGCTCATGCTAATTGCCAGCACACCAGGCCTCCCCTATGCCTTTGGCAGCAATATCTTTTCTTAAAAACAGAGTAGGATAGGGTGGAAAGGAGGCCGGGGAATAGACTTCATGAAAGATGAGGTGGCAGATCAACAATAGTGCTCTTCTACTTATAAATGGTGAGTCTGATGGTAATGGTGAACACAGGCTTATGAACAGGACAACAGTAACTAAATGATTCAAGTGACAACCACCATCACAGCCCCACCTTCTGATTTACAACTTTCAACAATCATCAAAGTTACTGTAAACTAAGTACTCTAAGTCTGCGTTTTCTTGAATGGGGTTCAGGACGAACAGGCAAGGGCTCGGCAGGGCATTGGTTATCCCAGTTCATTGCAGGAGACCCCAGCGATGGGGGAGCTGAGCCTCAAATTCTGGTTTGCACTACCTGCTCTTTCTGCTTGTCCCTTTTCCCATCCAATTCAATAGATTCCACAAAAAGTTCTCCAGGGGCTCACTGTCCTTGGTAAGTATACAGCAGGGTAAGAGGGGCATTTCCTAAATATCCAGTTTATCTTGGTCAGCTTATTTTGTTTAAACACACACCGCAGAACACTCCTGATGAAGTGGGGAAAATGCAATTTCCTTAACTCGAAAGAGCTATTCAAAAAAACAAAACAGGAAACTGCTCCAAACAAAAATCAGCAGAACAAAACAGAAATACTCAGAGGCTTGTAGAATAAGACTGAGCATATTAGTTACTCAGAGTCACAGTATCGTGAGACCACCACTCCCCTTCCCGCTGTGCGTCCCTCGCCCGCCCCATCCCCATCTTCAGCTCCACTATTTTGTGCATTACTATCCCCAGATGTGGGGACAGACAAGTCCTCCTCAAAGCTTTGTCGGCTCAGTACTTCTCTCCTGGAATAAACTCCTTGGCATCTGGGTTCAGGTTACTTTTGCTCTGAAATAAGAACCAAGAGATAATAAATCCTAAGGCAAGCTGCATTTTAAAACTTCCCCAGTCCATCATTATCAGTACCTTCCCCTTAGCTTTAGGGAGAGAAAGAAAGAAAATTCCTTGTAACTCAGGCTGTTATTGCTAGGTTGTTCTCAATTGCTCTTGACATAGCCCTGAGCAAGCGCATCTTCTTCCTTCTTTAGACTCTTGTTTCCTTCCTGATGCTTTCCAAAATCTCCTCAGAGGCCTGTAAGTTCAACTCCAAGAAGAATTTTTCAATTAACTGAGTACAATTAATTGAGAAAAGTTAACAATTAATTAATTTTTCACTTGGTGAAAACCTGGGTACTCGATCAGACCAGGTTGGATGCCACAATCTCTATTTTTCTTCATCTTTCTGTACTCTCTTTGGTTCTCTACTGTCTTGTGAATATGCAACACCTTAGCAAACCACAGGGAAAGATTGTTCAGAACATGAGTTGTGTGAAAACTATATTGCTCATGGACTTTTTTTTTTTTTTTGAGACAGTCTTGCTCTGTCGCCCAGGCTGGAGTGCAGTGGTGCAATCTCGGCTCACCGCAACCTCCGCCTCCCAGGTTCAAGCAATTCTCCTGCCTCGGCCTTCCAAGCTGGGACTACAGGCATGCACCACCATGCCTGGCTAATTTTTGTATTTTTTTAGTAGAGATAGGGTTTCACCATGTTGGCCAGGCTGGTCTCGAACTCCTGACCTCAGGTGATCCACCCGCCTCAGCCTCCCAAAGTGCTGGGATTACAGGCATGAGCCACTGTGCCCAGCCTGCTCACAGACTTCTGACACTACATAAATATGAAAGGCAGGAAATTCATTTATCTGTTTTTCTAATTCTAAGTGGAGAAAATGACCTCTCAGGAGTACATTTCTTTCAAAATGAACGGTTAATTTTTATAACAGAATCATTTAGAAGTATATTAAATACAGATTTGAGGGATAGTAAAAGAGAAGAATGGCAGCAAATGATAACTTGAGAAGAAACTTCTTCAGTGTTCAAATTGTTATCCTTAATCCCAGTTCTACTTTGAAGATCCCATTAGAAAGTAAAGGTTGGTGGCATCCAATCTTGGCAAGCAAAAAGAAAATAAAACTGGTGATGCTGGCAACAGTACTGTTTCATAGTGCTTTATGAGGAGGAATGCATCTTCAATACACCCCTTAATAATGCCCATAAAACGAGCAAAGAAACAATAGCTCACAGGGCTCCAGAGACTTGTTGAGGGTTGTAGGGCCAGAAAGAAAGTCTGTCATTCCAAATCCTATATTCTTTTCACTACATAACATGAGGAACTACATATGGCTCTTACCAAAATATCTTCAGAATCATGACCTTCGCTGACTGACAGTCCATTTAACTGCTGTTGCAACTGTCCCATGGCCTGAGGCAGGTCTCGTGATGGAATAAACCAGTCTTGGTCTTCTTCATCCAGCATCTCTTGGAAGCAGCGGTCCAGGAAGTCTTGCTCCTGCAGTTCCTCCTCCACCTAGCAAGCAAAGGGGAGTAGCTCAGACTTACTGTCACAGAGGGACTTACCCCTTCCAGTTTTTCCTTCATCTCTTTCCTTCAGAAGTTATTACTCTGCAGTTAAGAATGATCTTGAGCTGGGTGTGGCGGCTCACAACTGTAATCCCAGCAATTTGTGAGGCTGAGGCAGGAGGACTGCTTGAGGCCAGGAGTTTGAGACCAGCCTGAGCAACATAGCATGACCCTGTCCCTACAAAAAAATTTTTAAAATTAGCCAGGCGTAGTGGTGTGTGCCTGTAGTCTCAGCTACCTGGGAGGCTGAGGGTGGAGGATCACTTGAATCCAGGAGGTCAAGGTTTCATTGAACCAAGACTGTGCCACTGCACTTCATCCTGGGCAACAGAATGAGACCCCAATTCTTAAAAAAAAAAAAAAGAAAGAAAAAGAAAAGATTTTATGATCTGACCTGAGGTCTAAGGGATCTAAGGATTCAATGTGTCTAATGACTAGCTAGAGATAACATAATTTTTATTTTTTCTCAACCAGTTCTATCAATAATAAGACTAAGAAAATAGTTATTCACAATAACAGAAATTCAAGGTCTCCGCAGATGTTCTACGATCTCTAATAGCTGATACAGATATCATGGAAAATCATTTTAGAGCCTAAAATTCTTTTTTTCAGTCTTCTTACAAAGTAACCCTTCTTAAATTTCCCATTTTACAAGAAGTATGAAAAAGATACAGCAAGTATATAACTAGTTCATGACCTGGCTAGCGGAGATAAAATGAAAACCAATGCTCTCAGCTTTTGACCATTTTTTGGGTAAGGAAACCCTCAAGGGAGAAAAATACTTTCAGAACATTAGGAAGACATAAAGAACACTTTTTGGCATACCACTAGAAAATTATATAATCAATGTAGTATTCTTTCAAATGATGAAATATATGAATATTTAAACAACTCTGCATTTCTTTAACATTGCCCTAAACTAAAGCAATATATATCTAGGATATTTTACACTTCTTTGCAGACATTGTTAACTCTTAGTAAAGAGTGTGATTCGCTCTGCCGATTTCAGTGTCTCTGATAGGCCTCTTGCTTCATGTTTGGCATCCCTTTCCTGCAGGCTGCCTGGTGACAGATTCACAGCTCACTAGCACCACCACCAGAAGTGAAGTCAGGCAAAAAATAATTACCCAAATTAGAATATATAGTTACCTAATGAATTCAGAGGAAAAGTTACTGGTAGTGAGACTTAAGAATAGTATTTGAACATTACAGTTAGCCACACATGAAAATTAGATAGTTATGAAGTGCTTAATAAAATATTCTCATGCTGCAAGAAGTAACATGACCACTTAAGAGCTGCCCTGACTGTACAAGAGCTTTACAGCATGCTCGCTCTTATTAAATTTACCCCTGTTCACCAGCACAACCAATGAAAATGGTTGCTGGGCACAGAGGTGTAACAGAAACATGCTATGTGCAATTCACACAGATCCCGATAGAGCCACATTAGGTGGAAACTGCTGTCTGTCCCCTTTAAACTTGTTTCCTTCTTCCCAGAGCACCAGGCTGTTCAGTTAAAATCACATTTGTCACCTTACATGCTGTATATGGTCAAGTGCCTATTCATCACAAAACGTTCCCACAAGAGACGTGGACACTTTGGCATCCCTTGGTTAAAAGGAGACCCCTTGCCGTGGCCTTTGGCTCTCTCCCTTTCCCAGCTGCTGGACTTCACGGTATTCCCTCAGCCACTCAGCTGATATATGCCCTAGGGGTGGCAGAGCAATACTGTGGAAGGGAACAAGTGGGCACCAGATCACTTGTCTATCCAGAATGCTTACCTTGGGCTGTTAACCTCACAGAGACATAAAACAATGCATTACTGCTGAATCTTTGTTGAAGCAGTCTAGCCAACCCCCACCTCATGTACTTCTCTATTTCAGACTCACATCCTGCCAGTCCCCGAGGTCCCATTTGAGGCATGCCATGCTGACCTGTCTGCATATAGCTGCTGTTTCCCACAAATCTATACCCAATAACACAGGGCATTAGATCAAAACAACTTCCTTTCATAAAATAAATTTCTTCACCTTTTCCCATAACACAAATTTTCCATGAAAACATTGCAAAAGGAGAGCAGAAACAAGATTTTTAGGAACTGGACTTAACCATGTCTAATTAATGAAAAATATTATATATGGGCACATGTTTTATTGCATTTTGCTATACTTTGCTTCACAGATACTGCATTTTTACAAATCGAAGGTTTGTGGCAACCTTGCATCAAGCAAGCCTATTGGTGCCTTTTTACAACAGTATGTGCTCAATGTCTGTGTTACATTTTGGTAATTCTCTCAATATTTCAAACTTTTTCATTATTATTATATCTGTTATAGTGCTCTGTAATCAGTAATCTCTGATGTTACAATTTTTTTTATTTTAGGTTTGAAGTACATGTGAAGGTTACATAAACACATGTCACAGGGGTTTGTTATACATATTATATCACCAGGTATTAAGCTCAGCACCCAATAGTTATCTATTCTGCTCCTCTCTCTCCTCCCACCCTCCTCCCTCAAGTAGACCCCAGTGTCTGTTGTTCCTTGTGTTCATAAATTCTTATCAGTTAGCTCCCACTTACAAGTGAGAACATGTGGTATTTGGTTTCCTGTTCCTGTGTTAGTTTGCTAAGGATGATAGCCTGGCAACTCCATCCATGTTCCTACAAAGGACATAATCTCATTATTTTTTATGGCTGCATAATATTCCATGGTGTATATGTACCATTTATTTTTTTTATCCAGTCTGTCACTGTTGGATGGGCATTTACTTGATTCCATGTCTTTGCTATTGTGAACAGTGCTACAATGAACATTTGTGTACAGGTGTCTTTTTGATAGAATGCTTTATATTCCTCTGGGTCTACACCCAGTAATGGGATTGCTGGGTTGAATGGTAGTTTTACTTTTAGCTCTTTGAGGAATTGCCATACTGCTTTCCACAACGGCTGAATTTACACTCCTACCAACATTGTATAAGCCTTCCCTTTTCTCCACAACCTCACCAGCATGTGTTTTTTTCTTTTTTTTCTTTTTTACTTTTTAGTAATAGCCACTCTGACTGGTGTGAAATGGTATCTCATAGTGGTTTTGACTCGCATTTCTCTAATGATCAGTGATATTGAGCTTTTTTTCATATGCTTGTCGGTCGTATGTATGCCTTCCTTTTGAGAGGTGTCTGTTCATGTCCTTTGCCCACTTTTTAATGGGTTTGTTTTTCTCTTGTAAATTTAAGTTCCTTGTAGATGCTGGACATCAGACCTTTGTCATATGCATAGTATGCAAATATTTCCTCTCATTCTGTAGGTTGTCTGTTTACCCTGTTGATAGTTTCTTTTGCTGTATAGAAGCTCTTAAGTTATTTAGATCTCATTAGTCAATTTTGGCTTTTGTTGCAATTGCTTTTGGTGTCTTTGTCATTAAATCTTTGCTCATTCCTATGTCCAAGATGGTATTGCCTAGGTTGTCTTCCACGGTTTTTACAGTTTTGGGTTTTAGCCAGGTGCAGTGGCTCAGGCCTGTAATCCCAGCACTTTGGGAGGCCGAGGCAGGCAGACCATGAGGTCAGGAGATTGAGACCATTCTGGCTAACATGGTGAAACCCCGCCTCTACTAAAAAATACAAAAAATTAGCCAGGCGTGGTGGTGAGCGCCTGTAGTCCCAGCTACTCTGGAGGCTGAGGCAGGAGAATGGCGTGAACCTGGGAGGTGGACCCTGCAGTGAGCAGAGATCACGTCACTGCACTCCAGCCTGGGCTACAGAGCGAGACTCTGTCTCAAAAAAAAAAAAAAAAGTTTTGGGTTTTACATTTGTCTTTAATCCATCTTGAGTTTATGTTTGTATATTGTGTAAGGAAGAGGTCCACAGGAGTTCTCTGTGTTTCCTGAATTTGACTGTTGGCCTCTCTAACATGGTTGGGGAAGTTTTCATGGATGGTATCCTTGTATTAGTCTGTTTTCACACTGCTGATAAACACATACCCAAGACTGGGCAATTTAAAAGAGAAGGAGGTTTACTGAACTTATAGTTCCATGTGGCTGGGGAGGCCTCACAATTATGGCAGAAGGTAAAAGGCAAGGAGGAACAAGCCACATCTTAGATAGATGGCAGCAGGCAAAGAGAGAGAGCTTGTGCAGGGAAACTCCCATTTTTTAAAACCATCAAATCTCGTGAGACCAATTCACTGCCATGAGAACAGCAAAGAAAGACTCACCCTCATAATTCAGTCATCTGTCATCAGGTCCCTCCCACAACACATGGGAATTAAGGGAGCTACAAGACGAGATTTGGGGGGATACAGAGCCAAACCGTATCAATCCTAAAATATATCTTTCAAGTTATTTACTTTGTTCCCCTCCCTTTCAGGGATGCCAATGATACATAGATTTGTCCTCTTTACATAATCTCATACTTCTTGGAGGTTTTTGTTCATTCCTTTTTATTCTTCTTTATTTTTGACTGTCTTATTTAAATTTTTTGAAATGGAGTTTCACGCTTGTTGCCTAGGCTGGAGTGCTGTGATATGATCTCAGCTCACTGCAACCTCTGCTTCCCAGGTTCAAGAGATTCTCCTGCCTCAGCCTCCTGAGTAAGCTGGGATTACAGGTGCTTGCCACCACGCCCAGCTAATTTTTGTATTTTTAGTACAGACGGCGTTTCATCATGTTGGCCAGGCTGGTCTCTAACTCCTGACCTCAGGTGATCCCCGCCTCAGCCTTCCAAAGTCCTGGGATTACAGGTGTGAGCCACCATGCCTGGCCTGTCTTATTTTAGAGAACCAGTCTTCAAGTTCTAATATTCTTTCCTCAGCTTGGTTTATTCTGCTGTTAATACTTGTGATTGCATTATGAAATCATTGTGTTATTCAGCTCTGTCAGACCTGTTAGGTTCTTTTTTATACTGGCTATTTTGTCTTTCAGCTCCTGTATCACTTTACTATGATTCTTATTTTCCTTGGACTGGGTTTTGCCATCCTCCTGAATCTTGATGATCTTTGTTCCTATTCATATTCTGAACACTGTGGAAATGACAACAAAGGATTTAGAATATTACATAATCAGCTTAGTTGATAAAGCAGTAGTAGGGTTTGAGAGAACTGTTTTTTCCCTTCAATTTCCATTTTATCCAGTACTGATATTGCTTTGTGTTTGAAATTTCCTGATATTTTCTGTCTTCATTATTTTATGTTTTCCTTTTCTGAAGCATTTTAATTCAGATGTTTCTCTTTTAGGTTCTTTACATGTGAACCTGTTTCCCTTATTTTGGAAGTAATCCATTTTCTTTGCATATGAGTTGGGAAATCAGAACTAAGAAAACCAAATTGGAAGGGAAAAAAAGCCCCCCTAATCTCGACACTCACACATAATGAATATTGTTGACATTTTAGAATATATCTACCCTGATTTTTACTTAATAGACACCCCATGGGGAAATGACAGAAGCTTAGAGTAAAAAAAAAAAAAGTATCCTAGTTAGAAATGACCCATAAGATTTTAAAATTCACTAAGCATTTTCCATGTTTTTCTGTAGCCTGAATAGCCAGTGAGAGGGTATCTTGCAAGTTGTATATAATTAGATTTCTCCCTTTTTTCCCCCTTCAACACCCAATCTCATTTTTTTTTTTTTTTGAGATGGAGTCTCACTCTGTCGCCCAGGCTGGAGTGCAGTGGCATGAACTCAGTTCACCGCAAGCTCTGCCTCCTGGGTTCACACCATTCTCCTGCCTCAGCCTCCCAAATAGCTGAGACTACAGGCGCCCGCCACCTATATTCTCTCTTAGAAATTCTAGCCAGGCACTGTGACACATGCCTGTAGTCACAGCCAATCAAGAGGCTGTACTGAGAGGACCACTTGTGCCTAGGGGTTCAAGTCCAGCCTGGGCAACATAGCAAGACCCCATTTCTTTAAAAATTCTGTATGTGTGTGGGTGTTGGGGTATATAAGCCATTCACAATTATAACTAGTATGTTAGGTCTTACTTCTTTCACGAGTTACTTTAAAATAAAAGTCCCACTACTTTTCTTGAGACTTAATCCTTTCCCCCCACCAAAACTACATTTCAATCCACTTCCATCAGCCTCACAGTCAGTGAAAATCTTTTCAAAAAGACCAGTGAATGCCACTCCTGGTTTGGGGGGTTGTAAGTTGTTTCCATCTTATTCTATGTTTTGTTAGATATTTTATTAGAAAGTCAGAAGACATTATATCAGGGTTGCTAGCTAGAAACCAGTTTCTACTCCTTAAGATCCAACTCAAGGTACATGGTATGCAAAACCACTTCTGAATTACCATGAAAACTATGCTAGTAATGGAATGGGGGTTGGCAGTGGTAAAAACTGTACAGCACACCATAGTGTAACAGAGTAATGTACAGGTATTCAGAAAGAACTAACATCAATTATATCCTAGATTCCTAAACCCTCCTGCTCCCAAATGAAGGATAAAGAAGGCTTCTCTGAAATACTTAATCCTATGACCTGAAATCATATAATAGTTTCAAAATTATGTTGCCAGGCCAGGTGCAGTGGCTTACGCCTGTAATCCTAGCACTTTGGGAGGCTGAGGCAGGCAAATCACTTGAGGCCAGGAGTTTAAGACCAGCTTGGCCAACATGGCGAAACCTCATCTCTACTAAAAATGCAAAAATTTGCTGGGGATGGTGACACATGCCTGTAGTCCTAGCTACTCAGAAGGCTAAGGCATGACAATGGTTTGAGCCTGGACTGTGGAGGTTGCAGTGAGCAGAGATTGAGCCACTGCACTCCAGCCTGGGTGACAGAGTGAGACTCCGTCTCCACAAACAAACAAACAAACAAAACCCAAAATTATGTTGCCAAGCTAGTATTCCTGTAAAACATTAGGGCTGGGGGAATTTGAGCAAACAATTGTTTATTTGCTCAGCCCTTCTTAGGGCTTGGTAATCGCTTCTCGGCCTTTTGGCTAAGATCAAGTGTAGGGCTTGGTATTTACTGCAATATTGGAAGCTGCCATGCATATATCTGTCATTGCTTACCTAGATCTCCAGAAAAATAAGTTGTAATTTTTAAAGTTTCTCAACTGTCTTTCCTCAATCTCTTTGTGTGTGGGGTGTGTGTGTGTGTGTGTGTGTGTGTGAATACACTGTATGTGTGTCTCTGCAAGCCCCTAGCCTTCCAGCACTTTTCCTTGTATCTTGTCTCTGAGTTTGCTAAACTCCTGAATGCAGGAGCGCACAGCTGACCCACAGCTCAGACATCTGGCTTCTAATAGTCCTGGTGCAATACTGATCACTGGGATTAAGAGCATGTCAGTGAGTGTTAACAAAGCTAGTTAAAACTGTTTTATGTTTTCAACAACATATGTTTCATTCAGAGGCTGGATAAAGGCAGAGCGAAACCATTAAGTCAACAAAAATGCCAAACATGACTGTTCTAAAGTCCCATGGAAAACATACTTACCTTCAGTGAGAGTTCTTAATCTTTTTTTTTTTTTTTTTTTTTTTTTTTGAGATAGAGTCTTGCTCTGTAGCCCAGGCTGGAGTGCAGTGGTGTGACTGGCTCACTGCGACTTCCACCTACTAGTTTAAACAATTCTCGTGTCTCAGCCTCCCAAGTAGCTGGGATTATAGAAGGATGCCACCATGCCCAGCTAATTTTTGTATTTTTGGTAGAGACAAGGTTTTACCATTTTGGTCAGGGAGGTCTTGAACTCCTGACTTCAAGTGATCTGCCTGCCTTGGCCTCCCAAAGTGCTGGGATTACAGGCGTGAGCCACCATACCTGGCCTTAAATTTCTTTTATGTCTTCATTTATTTTCAAAATGAAATGCAGAGTATCACATTTCCTATAAGCAAGTGAAAGCAACAAACTACAGAGTATATAGAAAAACAACCTCACTACCATTCTGTTTTTTAGTGCTCTACTGTTCAAGCAATTAATTTCACATTGATCACTATAGAGAGTTACAGAACCACTATGCTTCCTAGGATTAAAGGTAGAATCAGGGCAGGATAAAGGACCTCAGCTACCATGGTTTGGTACAAGGGTTTTATGTCAGTCCTCTAAGATTGAGAAGAGTCTTATCTGATTTAAATTCTGGGAATATTCTAGAATGGTCTACAGTTGCTGAGAGAAATGTCATAAACAAATCTAGTCAGAACAAGGCTGAGGGCAGGGACCCTCTGCAGTAGTTACCGTGTAACGTGAACTACACTTAGAAGGCATATCATAGTGTGGAATATATGCAAATCTATTTGGTTATACATGGGCTCTCACGTGAGGATTTTCAGATATCAACTAATTAGTCTGACATTTGTTTTCTCTTTTAATCAACATGGTAAGAAAACTACAAATATCTTCCTCCAAGGTACCATCACTCTGGTCTCTTACCAGATGAAGATGTTTCCTGGTCATTCCAGATGAGGCCCCCGCCGACCGCCGCAATGAATTTTTAAGTTATCCTAAAGCTAACTGTATCCATTTCTTTTGTAACAAACTGGCAGTAAAATATTATTGCTATTGAGTTACATGTATCATCAACCTTCCACTTTTCCACTCTTTCTTTACCTGTCTGTTGAAATCCTCTTCATTCTCCATCCACATGTACTCTGCAAATGGGTTTTCCTTTTCATCATGCCCACTTAACCCCTGGTCCTCTTTGGATTTTACACTGGGTGATGTATTTGCCATATTGGATCCATTCATTATGATAGAACCTAAAGAGGAGCAAAAGAAAAGATAAAATGAGGCCGGGCACGGTGGCTCAAGCCTGTAATCCCAGCACTTTGGGAGGCCGAGACGGGCGGATCACGAGGTCGGGAGATCGAGACCATCCTGGCTAACACGGTGAAACCCCATCTCTACTAAGAAATACAAAAAAACACTAGCCGGGTGAGGTGGCAGGCGCCTGTAGTCCCAGCTACTCGGGAGGCTGAGCCAGGAGAATGGCGTGAACCCGGGCGGCAGAGCTTGCAGTGAGCCGAGATCACCCCACTGCACTCCAGCCTGGGCGACAAAGCGAGACTCTGTCTCAAAAAAGAAAAGAAAAGATAAAATGAATATAAAGATAAAGGAAATGTAGATCTAAAACATGCAGATTCTGTCAGAAGCTTCTGAAATTCTAAGTCAAAGATTTTAACTATAAACAGAAACAATCTGTAACTCTTATAAAACCATCCATATCCTACAACAGGTGTACAATTATTTAAAAGTTAAAAGAAAAGATGTCTATTAACACCTAGGCTCACTTAGTCTTTCTAGGCAAGTGGGACAGGGGTGGGAGGGGTGGGAATCTTCCCATGCCAAATTTCTGTAGGTCCTGGAACCTAGTGAAGATCATTACAGCTTCCTTAACATCTAAACAGATAGAGAAAATGCATTCTTAATGAACATTGTAAGAACCTACTCCTTATTCTAATTCTCAAGCTGTTTTTCTTTAAAATGTATTAAAAAATAAGTTTACCATATTGATAAGCAAAATGGAAAAAACAAAAGTCACCTGTTGTCCAGCCATCCAGAGTTAAGAACAATTAACAATGTGGTGCATATAATCTTCCTGAATTCCCATATGTTTGTGTAGATACAAACATACACACGTTTCCCAAGTATCCATTCTCAATAGTAATAGGATCATGTGATACAACATGCTCCATTATTTGCTTTTTCTCATTCCTATGTTATTTAATAATATAGCCATACCATCTTTTGGGGGTGTTTCCAATGTTTCTGTTTATAAAGGTTCTGCTTTATCAAGGTCTTTTCTAATTATTTATTTAGGATATCTCCTAGAAATAGAGCTGTTACATTGGAGAGTTATGTTCTCTTTTTTAAGGCTCTTGGCATTGCCACACTACCATAAGAATTTAAATTCCCACCAGTAGTGTGGAAGTGCCCGTTTCCCAACGGAAACGGGTATTAATCATTAGCATTATTTTCTAAACCATTGCCAATCTCATAAGATAAAACTTGCATTTTTTTACGTTTCTTTAATTTTTACTGAGGCTGATTATCTTAAGATATGTTTACTGGCCATTTATATTTCTTATTCTGTAATTTTACTGCTAAAGTACTTTGCCCATTTTTCTACTGGGGTATATATCTTTTCCTTATCTTTTGTAAAAACATGTATTATATTTGTTATAATTTTTATTTTTTATAATTTAAATGAAAGTTTATAACTAAATACATTATTCATTATATTTAATTTTTTGTGGCAATTTTTGCTGGCCTTAATTTTTTTCTAGCTCATGTATATGTTTCTGTCTACAGCTTTGTAAAATTGTATGTAAATAAAATTGTTTATTTTGGCTTCTAAACCCATTTTGATGTTTTTGCTGTCATTTAGAATATATCTTTTTCTGTTATTCTTCTAAATCTTAACAATTCCTCAAAAATCATTCCAGTCTTCATTCACCACTTCCCTTCTGTACTTAGTATACTACTTAATTGTTGTTTCATATGCATAATTTTTCTCCTTCCAATTAGATTCTCAATTCCTGACAAGCAAGATTGAGTTTAATAGATTTTGTAACTCACCACAATATAAGGAGTCCCATAAATACCTGAGGCTTAATTGTATTTAGGCAACTTTCCTTCTCTAACTCATCTCCCTTCAACCTTGACTCCATCTCTACCCCGACTCCCACCTTCCTTGGGGCTTCTTTAAGTTTTAACAAATTATTTCCCAGGGGTTCTTTCCACCTTGGCAACACTCGTGAATAAGTTATTTTCTGCTTCTGGATACAGTAAAATATTCTTTCTTCGTTCTCTTTAAAGTTTTTTTTTTGTTTTTGTTTTTTGTTTGTTTTGTTTTGCAATTTCCTAACCTGTTATGGATATTAGAAATGCAATATACTAAAAAAACAAGGTAAAATTGTGAAGAGTAAAGAATAGATGGAAAAACAACTCAGTGGTACATAATTCTAAAATACTTCATTTAAAATAGAATCCATTTAAATCACTGTAGGTTTAAACAAGGCTACCAGTATGAAATATATCTGTTTAACATATTTTAAATAGAAACAAAAGAAATCAATGTCTATTCCAAATACAGATCCATAATAATTTCATAAGCTATAGAGGGGAAGAAACCAGTTCTTTATTTTTACCACTTCCATCTGTAGCATAACAATGATAGAAGCAAGGCTGTTCTAAATGCCAGGGCAACAGTATTTGCCCTGTATGTAAGTGGGGTATTCCTAAGCACAGAGACTCTTAAAGATCCTGAACCTTGCTAGGTAGCAAGATACACTGTACTATTATTTCCAAAGATTTGGCAGTTGTTTGCAACTAGCACACTGACTTCTCACCATCAATATGGAAAATCACTACACAGAATCAGAAATCAGAGTTCAGTTTTTTAAAAAAAATATCTTCCTGTGCCCAAAAATAAGTCCTGAGTGCACATGATTGTAAGGAAAAAGGGAAAGGGAAGGCAAAGGAAGAAAAAGTAAAAAAAAAAAAAAAACAAAAAAAACCAAAAAAAAACCCTTCTAATTCAAGAGCAAGGTAGAGCACAGATAGCAAATTCCAGGATGTGCTTATTCATGAGAAAGGGAGAGGGGAATTACCATAAACTCATCGAAAACTGTTACGGAACTTAATGCAAATACTTCACAGAAGTTGAAAACACTGATATGGTATTATCAATACTAGGCAAGTGATTCTCTTATAATAGATTATACAGTGTTGATTTGTATTTTGTACTATTCAACCTGTGTTTTCCAAACAATTAGAAAGTTTGGTGTTTCCAAACAGCAGCATTCTAACAACTTAATTTTTATACTGTTTAAAAATTAATAAAGCACTTTCATACTCACACTTTGAGGCACATAGTTCAAGAACAACATTGTTTTGTGGGCCTGCTGGGTGTGAGTGAACTGCTGCTTAATGTGCCCTGGCTTTAGTAGCTAGGTGGCAATAGGGAGATTTTTGCTGGAGATTGGTAACTCCTAGGGAAGGCATTTAGATATTTCCAACTTGGGGAAGACACGAGGGAAGACAGGATCATCACAACTTCCCTGAAGTTCCTGCTCCCAGTTTCATGTAACATTTTCTTTCTATTTCCAGCTCTTTCCCAGGTCACTGTCCATGCTTGAGCACTGTGTTTCTCTAGCCATTCCATTTCACCATTTCACATTCATTATTTCACTTGATCCTCATCCACATCCAGGATGAAAGTCTAGTGTAGTGAGGACAAAGAAAATATGCCCAAAGCTTCCAGAGATGGGAGGAATGCTTGGTTACATAAATCGGGCTAAAAGGCTGAATGGTTGCCACGTTGTGAGTTACATTACAGAAAGGCTCATGGTACAAGGAAATGAACCACCATGTAAGTGAGCTTAGAAGTGCATTTTCCTCCCAGTCAAGCCTTCAGATGAGACAGCAGCCCCAGATGACAGCTTGACTGCAACTTTGTAAGAGTCTCAAGCACAGGCACTCTGCCAAACTACTCCCAGATTCCTGATGCACAGAAATTATGAAATAATAAATATTTGTTGTTTTAACCTGCTAAGCTTAAAGTTGTCACCTAACAATAGCTTATACAGTAGTCAATAAACACTAGCAATTAACTCTGCCACACAAACCACTATGTTACAACATCTTTTTATCTATCAAGAAGACAAATGTGCAATCTGAAATAGGTCACTGCTTGAGAAGCAGTTAAGATTTAGACCTCAACAGTAGATAAAGGAGTTTGTGTCTGGTCTGTGACTACATTGCATCTTGAAATCTAAGAACAATTTGAAACTTATTTCCCCTTCACCCCACTTTCCCTCTTATACACATGTCAAACATGCTGAAAATAAGAAATAACAGTTGTCACTTTGGCTGAAAATGGGAAAGCTCGCAACCCTGTTAATAGTCAATACAAGGGTGCTAAGGCCTGCCAAGCATTTGAGTTGGCACTATCGTGGTCAAGGGTCAAGACATATTTGTGTCTAAAATATGTGGCTTGAAATAGGGACTTCCATTCCAAGTCAGAAAGAACTCCAGGACTTTTAATGTATCTAGGATATTTCAAGGATACATGCTTCATCAGTTTAACACTTAAAACACCCACAACTTTCAGATCCAACATGCTCACACCAAAAACTAGCTATTCTTTGAACTTAAATAATATTTTTCAGAAGTTACAAACCTGCAATGTGCCTATGATAACAGTTTGCTAAGATTACTTAGGACTTTTGACTGAATTACCTGGAAAAAGTCTACTGAACAACTGAAATAAAAACTAGTCCCTCCTATTTTGTTTCCTACAGTTTCATTACTTCCTTCAGTCTGGTTAATACCATTTTAAAAAGTAAATATTGTGGATGACAGCTTTAAATTTTATTTCAAATATTCTGCCACTGGATTCAGGTTTTGCTTTCTCTCAGCTACATCTTAACAACTAAGAACATAAATCTACTCACTCATTAATATCTGAGTGCCTACTGACCCTCAGTGCTGAGGCACTGTGCTTAACTCTTGCTTTGATAGGGTACACAGCCCTTGCCCTGGTGATATTTATATTCTCTCAGGAGAGAGACAAGAAAATAGTTAAAAATAATTATGACCCATACTATAAAAGGGACTATTAGAAAACAACAGGGGGCCCAATCTAGTCCAGGAGAGGGGGATGGTTCAGAAAGGTTTCCCTGGGCAAGAAACATTTTCATCAACACCTAAAGAATATAAGTTTACTAGCAATAGGGATGAGAGAGAAAAGGATGTA